GAAGAACTCTGGCGGCATGATGTTGATCGAGAATCCAACGACACTGTTAGTACCACCACCCAAGCGGTTCAAATTGGCCTTGCCTGAATACCACACATACCTCTCCCCTCCCTAACCCTAGTATTTCCAATAAACTCACAACAGCCGAAATCAGTGAGCCTCACATGACCGTCCGAGCCGATGAGCACATTCTCCAGCTTGATATCCCTGATCGCCGCATACCCGAAGAGTCTCGCTACAATACGACATCATTACCTATGAATAGCATGATGTTTGCTGTGGATGAAATCCACTGCTATGCACAGCTCAGCCATATACACCTTGAAGGCTTCCAACGGCAGCTTCCCACCACACACTCTAACCTGAGTACCCCAACAGGATGCACCCGAAATCACGCCTTCGTAAATCTCAGTTAATGCCAATGTACCATACAAAACACCACATCCCAAAATTCCCTCCGCAGAATTAGCCACCCCTCTACACGCACTTATATTATTCTTAGAAACGCATTGAAAAAATCTGCGATAAACACGACCAATAGCCCATTCATTCTGTAACTACTATATTAACAAGATCCCAGGGTAGACCTCAGCGACAGTCTCCATCAACGTATCGACGTCAAGCACTACGACCAGTACCCTTACTCTCTCGAGCAACTCCCCACCACTGCAGAACTCCAATACAAAATAGAACCTCTTGGACGATTGGAAGCTACCAACCTGAAGCCGCATACAGTTACTCCCATACAACAACAACGACAGTTTTTGATATATTCCATCATCTCTCTCTACATGCTAGATCTACATGTGCTTGACCTCCCTGCGATGAGAAATAGGACCTAATGCGCCTCACAAATACACGCCTGCCTATCACCAATCCTAACCCCTGCGACACTCACTATGGATGGTTACCACCATTATCACTACCACGAGAGTACTTGTATGTCCGATATTGAGAGAGAGCTCCTATGAATACAACGAGCATATAGACAGAATTCTATCACAATCTACTTAGCGGACCTACTTCGTATCTTACTCGCTCGACCTTAAGATACCCTACTGACCCCCACACTTACGAATTGGACCAGGAATGGACAGTCGTGAGAAGCAGAGGCGTAGAAGTCGCGCTCATCGGCCAACCTTTGGACCTATCCCACCGGATGCAGCACAACCCAGACCGCTCGATACCCTACCACACGCTGATCTCCCGTATTCCTCCTCTCTATGAGCGCCCATTTATCCACGGACTTCATAGCATACAGCTTGTTATCAGCTGCCCAACGAACCAGCCGCACGACGCCATATCTAGCAGGCATCAACAACCTTGGATGCCTATCTCAGCACATGCCACACCAACGAGGACAATTCCATCCAATTCAAACTGCCACTGACTAATGACTTTCAAGGTTACGCCTGAGCATATCACTCATCAGTATCAACCGTACGCAATACGACATCCTCAGCAGTTTCCTAACAGCAGTGGTACGTTCAACGCACTACCACACAGTAAGTCCAACGTACTCTGTTTTCTCTAAGCCGGCTACTACCCGCCATATCCCAGACTTCCAACAGTTTCAAAATCATCTTGACTCATGCGTCTGCCGCTCATATGCTCCTCTCCAAACGGCGGCTGACCCCTACAAGAACTCAATGATCGAGACCAACCACCAGGCAGCATCCCTACTCTTTGCTGCCATCAACAGCCGATGCTTCATCAGTCAAAGGCGTGTCGGCCATCGTTGAGATTCTACTTCTAGTCGAACACAGCGAGCCCTGACAAAATTCCCATACACCTCCCAAACCTCGTCACGACGATGCTCTCACCTTGCTTCGGGGTTCAGCCGCTGGATCATCACGAGACCCCTCACAAGACGCGTTCAAGTCCCGACCTATCCCAGGTAGAAGGAGACCCTTCATCATTATACTACCACAAATCACCTCCCTATTGTCACCATACTGCACGCAAGCACAAGATAGCATCTTTTGAAATGTCAAGCATTATATGATAGTATGGTTTTTAGTAGTCTTTTTTCGGCAGTATAAGTTGCTTCGCTCCGCTTCAAATTGACGAGCTGCCGTACTTCGCTCTCTTCCTTTCAGCGTGAAACTCTTTCGCCATCGTTTGAACGATCCGCCCGAAAACCCTCACATCAGCCTAAACAGCAACAACAAAAGATACCTCCAACGCACAGCGAAGATTTCCCATCCTCCTCGTCCTCCTCCTCCTGCTCACCCTATCCCCAACCAGCTTAGATACCACATTCTGCCTCTGCTCAGGTGATAGGAAGTTCAGAGGCTCCACCATAACCTTATTCTAATCAACAAGCACCGTAAGTCGATACAACCAAAGCAACCTCAGCTTACCAGAGACTCCACAGTTCGGTCCTGGAAGCTCGAGAGGAGCATGGTCCGAAGTACACCTCCAGTGGTGGGCAGAACCTATCAACGATGCTATCAGAATAACCATCACCCTACTACTATTTATACAGAGTGCTCTTCTCCTCGTTGCTCACCTGTGGGTATCCATCACATTTATCAGCCCATATCTCCACCAGAGCCAACAGCATATGATCCAATACCGTACCACCGGAAGCATCATTCGAGAACGATGACAGGAGTATTTGCCGAACCTATATTAGCAGCACTAAGCTTGCCTAGACAGTATTGGAGGAGCACATCTTTGTTTTCCTCAGCTGAGCTCACTAATTATACAGTTTTACAGATGACTCCGAATAGAAGTACACAGAAACCAATACGAAATTCCTGAGCCTTCCTCAGAATTTCCATACTATCACCAACACATGTAGCTGACCATGCGCATATTTTCCTACACTAATCCCAACAGTTCCCCCATTTGAACCTACCAGCTGGCAATTCTCTTGGCAGACTCTCTCGGTATCTTCCGCGGCATGAATAATCGGCGGAGGGTCCGTCCACGTAACCAGACGTTCAAGAAAGTGCAACATTGCCGCTATAGCAGGTTGAGTTTGCGCCTACCACAATTCCCTCACATCACAGAACCCTTCCTCCTTCCACTCACATCAATAGGGGCAGCCTCTAAACATGCAATGGCCAACTTGGTCGTCGGCAACAGCCACCCAGCTGGCAGTACCACATGCACCTAAGCCGACCCCTCTCAGAAGGACCTTCCCCCCTCCTTATTACCAGATCGACGAATCTCAACACTTCCCCCAACACCAAGTACGTCTCTGCTACCATCTTACTCTCGTCAGTTGTTAGAGCCGTCAGCGACATGTTACTCTGTTGCAAAGATGAACCTGAGAATCCACCATTACGACCAACTCATGCCGAGTCCACAGAGCTCAGAAGTAACTACATTGTATCATCACCATGCAGGCCTAGACGATATGATTTGCTGGTCACTCCTGAATCTTATTCTCACACTAGAATTCCCTCGCTCTCTCACCCAGTGTCTACGACTTAGAATTCCTCGAAATTATGGTAAGTCCGATGATGATGACTCTGATCCCACCAACCCCCTCCCATTCACTCACTATGAGCAACAAAGGTAGCACTAAGATCACACAAGGTGTTGACCAACTCTGTATGGACCTGACAACCACAACAACAATACTACTGCTACCAACAACACCAAGAGCCTACTCACCCGCGTAAGTTCCCCAAATAGTGCGACGAAAGTTCTCACCAACTGCATCCAACAGCTCAACGGTGCCGCTCTGAATGCTTCTGATACCAGTTCTAAAGAGGCCAAAGAGAATCGTCACGCGCCACGAAATTCGCAGAAACTCACGTAGTGTTGGTATGAAAACTGCCGACTGAGGTGCCACATCTCGGGTGTAAGCAAAGATATGTCCGAATGCTACACCTGAACAACACGAACAAGACGGTCGAGAGTGCATAAGATCCAACAAGGGTAGCAAAAGGATATTCTAAACACATACTCCTGCCAGATTATCCGTGCTTGATTTCCTCATAGCACTCCATACTAGTAGTATGATACATAATATGGAGTATAGTTGCGGAGCGAGCGGAGCATATACCGCCACAACAGGCACTTTCGCGTTGTGCGTGCGTGCGTGATGAATGATTTTGACTGAACTATCGACCGTCCGAAGGCATCAGATGAATCAAACAAGTCCTCTATGCCCCGAGGTTTGCAGAAAAGCCGAAAAACTCGACTACGCCCACCGCTTCCAAAAATATGTGCGGAAAAATGCCCAACCCGGGAATCGAACCGTAGACCAACTCCAGGGTAGATATAGTTTGGTGCGCGATTCGATGTCTATGACTATCAAATGACCGTGCCGAGCGCAATTGAAAATCCATTTTGTCCATCACATCTCCACAACGATCATTATTTCCCAACATCCCAATCAAAAGATACGGATTAATCGCGCTCCGCCCCTTCGTCACGAAGGCCTAGTAGTATGATACTCCTATACTCCACGTTATGATGATTATACGTTCATACAAGGCGTATATAGCATCACTATGATGTCCTACCAGATTCCCCAACATACCCCTTTCCCCTCACAACGGTGAGCAGTGCCCAACTTACAAAGCTGTTGAGATAGATCCTGATGGTATATAACGACGGACATCACCACCTGCTGGACAGTCGACCAGTACTCTTCCAGATTCGCTAGCAGTGGATGAGTGGAAGGTTCATCATCGGCGGAGTAGCTAATACAATAATACCGACAAATAAGACCAATTTCACACCGCGCTCGCCCGAGTGATCGATAAGCAGATCTTCCCACTCACTCGTTGCGAATGTGCCCACAACAGCTCAAGCTGGCTATGAACAGCTTCACCGCCGGTGGACCAGACACCATATTATTATGTGGTGGCCGATAGTCCTGTAGAGACTTCGACAGGGGCTCAGCCGTTAACCTATGGGAGAGGGATAATACTTAGACACTTTGTTTACCTTAGGAGTACGCTCACGACGACAGGCAGCATCAACACGACTTCCCAATGTGGGAAAATTTGCAAAATATGAACATTCTGAAAAAATTTTGCAAAATTCTTGTTGGTTTCTGTACATTTTTCTACCCTAGTTCGTATATGAATTCCCAGGGTCAGCTAAGGAAAGCGAACATATATTACAACAGTGCGACTTTTCACACTACGTTAGCGCGAAATAGCAAAAGTGGACTATTGGTAATAATAGCACTCCTACCTGCAGAAGTCCTTCAAACTAGCTGTGATCTGTTCCCAGTCCGGCAACACTGCAAAGACTGAGCCAATGCCCGTAACAATACTAATTCGTGCATCAATATCCAGTGTTTGCAGCAAGCACACCGATGCCTACAACACCAAACCATCCAGCACGTCCCCCCCCCACTCCAGCGCTACCAAACCCTGAACAAGGTGCTCCCATTGCTGCCTATCCTTAGTCGCCACGCTCTGCACCAACATCATTCGAGACGCCATCAAAACCTTCCACACGAGCACCCAATCACCCAACGAGCCCAGCCACACCAACTATACCGTTTTAACAGCATCCGTGCACACTTTCTGTGATAGTTTAAGAATATCCCTAGAGGCACCACCACTAGTCGATACTGTGGGAAGCACTGACAATATCATCAACCTCAAAAACCCTCATCTCGGGCTTACCCGGTATAATAGTTTCACAAAAGAAGTTAAGCAGCGTTACACACAACTCCTTCTGCTCAGCTAAGTAGCAGCTGGTATACAGTACTATACGACCTGATACAAAACACGTCCGCCCCCCTCCCCACCCTCTTCACAGAGTCAGCGTTATTACCAGCTCCCGTCCTCAACAGCAAGGCAGGTAGTCCCTCACGTGGATAGTCCAACTTGGGCAGCAATCGCAAGAGCCCCGGGATAACCTGCAACCAACACCGCCCATCACTCTCCACAATTCCAATAAACAGCTCACCTCATCCTGTCCAGCAACTGCTTTGGGCGCTACCGCTGTGAGCACATATATACATGCTTCCACACGTTGCCAAGGCGCACGGACCAACCCAGAGGCCTACCAGTGTTACTGCAACCCCAAAATATACCACGACCTTACCTGATCCGTCTGACAACACTGTGAGAGTGTTTCTCCAATCTGTTCAATGATCCACTCAGGATCGACTATCGAGCAGCTATCAGATATCACTTGGGCGCAAGACTGACCCAAAAAAAGAATTCTACCAGCGGATCGACCATTATATGCATCAGGCGATACTACAACAGGATTACAACACTTGTTTATGAAAGTTGAAATTACACTACATATTCACAATTCATAACCATCAATTTTCTCGCTTCTACTGCGGCTCGTCTATCCCTACATGAAAAGTGACGAGGAAAATATCTAGTCACTACCTCCCGGAAATCCACAAAGGGCTCGATCTCAAACCCCTCGTCCTGATCAGCCTTCTCGATATCAGCCGGACAACATATCGCGATGAGCAGAGCCGGCACAAGCTCCTTGAACCAGGGTTCGAGGAAGGGCAGCGTCATTTCTTGATTCTGAGAAATACCCACATCCACACGAACTCCAACGGCATCCCTTTCTGCATAGACACACACCACCATATATCACATCATAGTGCACCCAGGGCAAGAACAGCCTTACCTGATGTTGCAAGACCCTTTCTGCTATGCGCTGTTCTCGAGCTCCTAACAACCTAAAATAATCAACATCTGTGAGATGGGCAGCAACCTAAGCGGTCTATACTAGACAGTAGATACTAGCCTTGGAGGTTGCTAATGAATAGACTACATCACCGACAATTCGAAAATTTTCCCGCAACCCAGCAAACAATCAACGACTGACAGTATTCAACACCATAATGCACAAACGATCATTCCAATACACCCTTCCTATTCCCTTATTACGCCATCAACGATCGAGAGCTGCCCTCAGCAGTCCCCTGTGTGCTAGCGTCAAAGAAAAGGTCATCCTCCTCATCCTCCAGACTAGATGCTCCTAGGAATCCACTCAATGCCGAATACCTGAGCATGTCCGACCTCACACGTATGTGCTACACTACAAGAACCCTACCAAAACTCGAGAGCAGTTCCCGCCAACTCCACATGTCTAACTCTCACGAAGTGAAGAGCCAACTGCAGTATAGCCGTCACCTACAAATAGTACCATACTTTCTGCCATGCGCGCTCGCCCAGATGATCGATTATAACAAAGTATCTTACCACCGCCTTGATCCTCTCTTTTTCAGGGTGTTCAACACTAGGGGAGGCCAGAACAACCAACGGGAAGAAGTGTGTGAGGCCAAACTCGGATAGTAACCGACACATCAATCTGCGTCACCGCGCCACAAAATTAACCACCACACCCCAGCACATGCCCACTACTTGCTCCTTTGTATCAATTCCCAGTCGTATTTGGTAGTCTCCGATATGAACGAATCCGTGCCTGCCAACGAGCAGCAATATTTCCCGCGAAAGTCTATGCGCTCAAGAAGGTGATTCCCTAGCATTTTCCTCACCTGCCGGGATAGCCTCTGACAGCTGTCGTCCCAACATAACGATCGCCTCGGCTATAGCCAGGACCATCTCGAAACTAAAACACACATGCCTTCAACTATGACCAAGAGCCCATAGCGATACCTTCCGCTGTCCTTATCAGTAGTGTCTGTCGTCACCGATAAACATTCGCTCAGCACGAAAGCACACTGCTCCATCACCGACACCGGTGTGCTGAAACCGACATAGATGAACCCCTAATAAAGAGGTGAGACGTATTACCTCGAGCTGTGGAAGGCCACAAGAACGTTCCTGAAGATACTCAGATTTAAAATTGCCGGCAACACTAGCTCGTTGGCTGCTCTGTCTCCCATCGACCGACGATTGCGAGCCTTGCTGGAAAACCTGCACCAGCTTAGATGATCATCCCCAATGCAATGGCAAACTCCTCTCTCTCCCTATTCATTGAGACCTCCAGCTCCCACCCATTGGTACTACCTCGCCAGCTTGATCCATTTTCGGAACACTACAATGCATTCTCCAGTTACACTAGCATCCTTAGTATTCGAGCTCATCTCATCGACAAGGCTGAGCACCTTCGAGCAGTACTTAGTCACCTACAATACACATACCACTCGCTGAGCAAAACTCCCGATGGGCTACTACCATATCGTCCGTGACCGCTCCCCGATCCACAGCATGCAGGAACAGCTTAGTACTCATCAATTCATCAGGTAGCTGCGACAATATGGCCAGCTTCCCCATAGGCGGCAAGGATCTAAGGTTGCCCATACCAAGATTCAAATGAGGTCCGACGATGGCCCACGTTATAGCCTCCATCAAGTCAGCAGTCTGTTGTCCATTACTCTTCAACTGCTGGTTGCTCAGTAAGAGATAATCTGCCGTAGCCTGCGAGAGTTGCCTCAGCACCTGCACGCCCACCATAGCAACAGCAAGAGGGCCACCTCATTAGTACCGCTCCCGTAGCCCCATGGGACGACCCAGTACTATACAAGCCTACCCACTCCAACAACTGCTTCAAAAACTCCTAAAACAAAACGACATTTTTATCACTGAAATTGATAACACAACGTCAACCCTCTTGCCAACAAATACCCAACTCACCGCGTTTCCAGCAGGAACTGCCTTCAGCTGGATTTTGGTCGCCAAAGTGTGTGCAGCATAATGCTCCGCTTGAATGGGCGTGCCAGAAGGATTCGACAGCAGCAGACGTATCTACTCAATACAATCTCCAATAGAGTTAGCAGTAGACCTACCGTTTCCAAAGCCCGAGGGTGATGTTGAAACTCTTCCAATGCTGCTGTGACGCTCTTGGCAGCTTCTGGTGACGTATGAAGCAGATTTACCTACCACAACGCCAGCACAGTCATCCTCACTAGGAGCCTGTATTTGTAGGCCCCCTAGATCAGAATGAGTGATGGCCTCTATAACTACTACCTGCTGAACTATGGCTTCCCCAAGTTGCCTAGGATCGTTGGGAACCGTCATATTACTCGTGTAGCTCGGAAATGCCGTTACTCTTCTATGATTTACTAAAGGAGTGGTATGAAGAAAGGAAGGAGAATTACAACAATGCGTCGCCAAACAACGTACAGACCTGACATAAAACCATCAACCCTCATACCACTCTCCCTCCAAATCCTCCCAATAGGAACAACACAATACCACATCAACAGGAAGCCCTCAGGGTATCAACCCCAACAATACAACACAGGTCAGCCTGTCGGGAGAAACATAGGAGTTCTATATTGTGATTTTACGTTGAATGACGTTGTAAACTCTTCCAATACAGGAAGCAACCAATACTAAGTTACATTCCCTTTCCCTTCTTCTTCTGCGGTAGCTTCTTAGCACGTCGCTTAGCACCCGCCTTCTTAAGCCCTAATAGGCGACCAACCTCCTCCATCACAAAAGCAGTCCCGAACTTACGCTTATCGGCTCTCTTCTGTGCTCGCTTGTCGTTCTTCAGCCTCTTATCGACCATCTTCACCTTAGCGCCTCTACTAGCTCCCTTAGAGATCACCTTAGAGCCTGTAAAGACACACCCTAGTCACTGTCACCAGACAAAGACTCGGCCCCTTACCTCCCTTTCCTTGTACTGCTGCATATGCGACTTCCTTCTTATCATTGCCTGATACCACTCCATCCACAACTCACATACAATCGAGACACCCACCTCGCAACACTTTTCCAACAGCCTTCCTCATCGCACGGGCCTTTCCAGAGTCGCCCAAATCGCTCGATTCTTGCAAGCTAGTGGCTGTCTTCCTAAGCTTCTCCAACTGCTGCGTCAGACGCTTCTTCTTGCCTACCACCATACCATACCACACCTCATCCAACTCTCCCCATGAGCAACTCACGTGCTGCCGCCTCCGCCACCTTGCGAACAGGTCTAGCATTGATCTCCCTCATCTTAGCCCGATACTGGTTCATCAACTCCTTCGATATCGGCACCTACACAATCCCATACCACTCCTTCGCTATATCATCATTCACCCACCATCTGACGAGTGAACGGCTTCTCCTCCTCCACAAACCAATCCGGTAGAGCCGCATTGTGATCGTCAGCGAACCTGGCCACCACCACACTCACCCTTCTACTCTCAACTACCATCCTTACGTATATCTATTATAAGCACTGTCAATCAGCTCCATCCGACTCTTCTTAGACGTCAGCAGGCTGCCCAAGGCCAGCGTCTCAGCGAGCTCTTGCGGATCTTCTGGTCTCTCGAACGCCGAGGCAGTGCTCGCTGGCACCTTACCACAACACCAGTTCGACCGAGATGGACACCTCTACCACTATACTAGCAGACAGTATTAAGACACCTACCACTTCGAATCCTCCAACATCAGTTCCGGCCACATCACCGTCCTTATGGCCATGGCCATCACCCTCCTCCTCCACTTCTCCCATCTTACGGGCCCTCTTCGCCTGAAACCAATAGACGCTATAGCTGAGCAGGACAATCATTCAAAGACTGTATCATAATTTCAAGATGTACATTTTCTCTTCAATGGCTTGCAATACATACCATCACCCACACAATTCAACAGCCTCGACACTAGCTAGATAGTCAGCCGACCTCGCTTACCTCCTTCTTCTCCTTCTTGGCAAGATCACGCTTCCTCTTCTCCTTCCTCAACTGCTTATCCGTAAGAGGCAACTTCAACAGATCCTCATCATCCAACTCCCGAATCTATAATGACCACATATCAGCCTATGCTACCATACACACAGTCCCACCCCATCGACATCGTCCTTCATCTCGTCATCATCATCACTATCCTCTTTGAAGAGCTCTTGCGAGAACCAACGATCCGTCCGAATCTATCATCAAATCCCGTAAACAACATCCACCCACAACCCTCTTATACTACTTGTCCCTTCGCTCCGCTCATTTCCGGAGGTAACACGATCTCCTCGGAAGCCTTACTCTCCTTAGAGCGCTTACTCGGCACTTCCACCTCTCCATCGCTTGAGTCACCCTTCTCATCATCATCATCCTCCTGTATCCCATCAACATACCTATTCCCAATACCACTCCACCCTCAACAACTCCCATCACTCCTACGCAGCATCTCCTCCTTCATCCGACTCATACCCGTCCACAGACTCCCCATCCTCATCATCACTAACGCCAGCAAGCTCACGACGAACCTGTCGGTGAATAAGCATCTACTGGCCGACCACCCCGACTCACCTGTTCCTCATGAGCAGCGACCGCCTTCCCCTCGATCTCCGAGGTGACCTCTCTCGCCTCTGCCGCCCACTCCTGTGCAGCTCTCTCCCTCCTAGTCTCCTTCTTCCCCTTCTTAGCCTTCAACGCGGCCTTCTCCTTCCCTACAAACTATCCCTATACACAACTACTACAAAAAGAGTAACCTACGGAGCTCAGCGTCCCTCAGCTCATTCTTGTGATATTCCGACATCTCCTTCTCCATCCTCTCCAGCCTCGAGCTGTTATCTCCCACTATATACCTCAATATCAACACAGTAAGCTACATGAACCTCAGGTGTACCCTCCTACTCGTATTGGCCAGGTTGGATATCCCTATCTGTAGGATCTTCCTCTGATCCCTCCAGTGCGGTAACGTCCTAACATCAAACACTACCATCAACGACAGCATCTACACCCTCCCTCATAGGGTGAAGAGATGTGTATCACGTGTTAGTGAAAATATGAATACCATGAGGAAACTCAGTGAAATTTTTCTTGCATTTTGTTGACTTCTACCCGAGTTCGTATGTTAACTTCTATAGGAAACGAGTAAACCCTCAAGCTCAGCTGAGGGGAGTGAGCATATATTCCGACACTCCTCCCTCACCTCATCAACCTCGTTAGCAGCCTCAAAGTCATCCTGAGTAATCCCCCCAAAGAGATCAGGCTCGTACATTGATGAGGCGCTGAATGCTCCGCCTGAAAAGTCCACATAACTCCACATATACTACGAACACCTCCTAGGCACTACCTAGGGACATCTTCTTCCTCATCTCCTGCTTCTTAGTCCTCTCCCTTTGCTTCTTCAACTCAGCCTTCTCCTCCCTTCGACCTAGTCCACATCACCATACAATCAGGAGTAGCACCAACATCTATCCTTACGAGAGCTCAACAATGCTGCCAGTTCATCATCGACTGACTTGCCAGGCCGAGCGTTTGCAAGAGTATCTTCCTCCTCCTCCTCCTCATCCTCCTCCTCACCATCGTTCTCTTGATTCACCTTAGATGCCTTCTCACGATCCCTAACACACAAGCTTCTCAACAACATGGTCCTCTTCCAAGACAGCTACCTTCTAATACGCATACGCCACTTCAGCAAAGCCATGAGCTCTCCCTTCCCCAGCACTTTCAAGTCGCTCATATAGTCCAATATCTCCGGAGTCGTATAGGGGGACCTAACATTTTTCCATAGCCCAATAACAATATACCATACAAGCATACTTTCTTATCGCCTCACAATCCTCCGTCGCAAACACGAGCTTGCTCCTCTTAATGAGGACTTCTGCCGGAGCAGGAGAGGCTATGAACTCCGCAACCGTCGCAGTTGAGAATCTAAAAATGGAGACTATCTACACTCGACAAGGATCAACATATCCCTACAGTTCCGACTCATCCTCATACCCCCCTCTACGTCTCTTCATAGCCGACTTGAGGTAGTCGTTGAGAGCCGCTGCCCCACTGCTACCAGCTGAGGCAGCAATAGTGCTGATAAAAAGGTATTCTATCCTATCTACCTTTCTTGCCAGTAATTTCCTCCTCATCCTCCTCTCCAACAGCCGCCTTCTCCTGCTCATCTCCCTCCATCATAAATACCCATTTCGGATCGAACAATCGAGGATCAACTCTCGCTGGTGCCTTGAAGCCCTTACAAGTAACCTAAGACAACACACGAGTGACGACTCATTTACATGTCATACCATCACTCACGAAAATCTCAGCAGAGACGTTACGAGAAGCGGTGGGTTTGGTCGCCTCAACCTTCTCAAACAGCTGTTGGAAAACCCACAAAAGACTGTTGTAATCAGAAGATCTGAAGACTTTGGTGACGAAGGTACCTACACCCCAACGACGATACTATCAACCCCTTCTACTCCTCATATAGACCCACCTCCCTTCCTGAGCATGTCCGCTGCTAGATGCACAGCATATAGACACAGTTCAGCCTGGTTGTAAGCATCCTTAGCCCAACTCGCACCCACATTAGGTGCACCATCATTCAATACAACATCACAAGGAGTTCCTATCAGAATCAAACACCTGTCGGAAGCTCCTCAAGGCGACCAATAGTACCATTGAGCTCCTTCAACAAGAACTGCCTGCACTTCTGTGTTGTTATGTCACACTGCATGGTCACCACCCCCTTAATCGGTTTAATCGGCATCAAATCGACACATATGACCTTCGAGTTGGCAGGCATGTGCTTTGCTGCTACCTAAACCAGTCCAAGCACCTCCCCCTAGACCATGAACGATCCAGTAGCCCACCTGACTCCACCCTCCAGGAGCTCCACAGAGATCCACACATGACCTGGCGTTCTTGAGGAAGCCGTATCTAACACAGCCCTCAACGCGGTTACCCTTTCCCGACGAAACTACTTCTTCTCGAGCTGGATTAGTTTGAACGCTGATCGTCCTCGATAGCCCTGCTCCTTAGCAAGCTGATAAAAGCGATCCAAACGCTCCTTTCCGACCTTCTTCCGGCGAACCATAGAATCAGCGTAAGGGAAAGTATAGAACTTCCGACAACAAACGAGTAACTCTTGAGCGCGGACTCTACCAATATAGCAAAAGCAGATTACAAGAGCTTCCAACTTCCCAGTATCATTCACTACATACCGCTGATTGCAACAAAATATAGCGCCTATACTGCCAAGTTATTGGTCTCCCTTCCTTCCCCTCCTCTTAGTCAAAATCACCGCGCCCTTCGCAAGAAAGTTTATCGAAAACGCTGTTCGGCCTCAGATCCTCCTATGGGTGAGAATGGCTCTCGCAGCTTCCTGATGCAGTAGTACTACAGCACGGATGGCTTATGCCTCCACTGCCTCGAAGGGCGGTCATAGAACCCAGCGCTAAACGACATCACCACCGTATTAGCATGCAAGTGCATGAAATGTACCCCATTTCTTGCAGTTGCACGAACGTACTTGAAAAGCCAGGACGATTCATGGACGGGGAAATCCTCATTTCTAAAGAATAGGCCTCTTTTTTGAAGAAGTTTAGCGCACGCTCCCACCTGCATTTCGACTTAGCCTTGGATTGCAGCCTGGCCTTGGATAACAATTCGGGTTTCTGGTTTCCCGTCGGGTTTCGGGTGGGGTTTCGGGTTTCCCTTTCTCCGCTTTCACCTGCAGTTCTTTTTTTTGGAATTTGCAGTTTAGATTCTCACTTGCGTTACGGTCATCACCTGGATATCAACCTTTACTTTCCATTAATGGCGCGCGCTGATATTCTTTGGTTTTTATGCATCTCGCTTAGATTTGATGCAGTGCCCATTCATGGACGACTGGTAAGTTTTCTTGTGAATGGGTGTGTGCTGGTCTCGCCGTAGTGCTCGACCCGAGTGGCCTCATAAACTTGGCTTGCTGCTCACCAATGGAGTTGTACTCATAACACGCTTGAGTCTGGCTACCTCATTACGTTTCACCGACTTCTGATAGGACACCTCTGGACGAAAAACAC